CCCCCCCCCCCCCCCCCCCCAAATTTAATAGCACATAGTTTTAAATGTTCTGTTGACCTCAACCTTCTTAGGCCTAAGCTGGCCCTTGTTAGACTCATGCCCCCCCCCGAAAATGCCAGCTTAGTTTTCACTTATTTTTTGACTACAGAAAAAGAATAGAACAGTTATTTTGACATTATTTATTAATGAATCCAGCTTATGAAATAACATATTTAACATTTAAAGATGGACCTAGTCCTCTAACATCTACAAAGATGGATCCTTATCTTCCTTCAGCAGTGCTCCTTTAACCCAGGTCAGTGTTCACAGGAGTCTTGTGCTCTTCTCTCTCCCTTTCAGATGCTGACGGTTGCTTTGTTTTTCAGAGATTCATAGATTTCTAGGGTTGGAAGGGACCTGTTAGATCTTCGAGTCCGACGCCCTGCTTGGGGCCAGAAAGAGTGCTGGGGTCAAGTAACCTCAGTCAGGTGCTTGTCTAATCTCCTTTTGAGCACCGCCAAGAAAGGGGACAGCACCACCTCCCTTAGAAGCCTATTCCGTATTTTGGTGCCCCTCACCGTAAAGAATTTCTTCCTGATGTCCAGTCTAAATCTACTCTTCTTCAGTTTATGGCCGTTGTTTCGAGTAACCCTGAGGGGTGCGCTGGTAAACATGGTGTCCCCTATTTCCTGCTGTGCCCCCCGATGAGTTTGTAGACAGCCACCTTTCAGCCTTCTCTTGCAGAGGCTAAAGAGATTGAGGTCCCTCAATCTGTCTTCATAGGATCTTACCCGCAGGCCATCAGCCATACGAGTAGCCCTCCTCTGAACCCTTTCCAGGTTATCCGCGTCCCTCTTGAAGTGTGGCGCCCAAAACTGGAAGCAGTAGTCTAGTTGTGGCCTCACCAGTGCTGCGTAGAGGGGAAGTATCACCTCCGTAGACCTGCTTGTGATGCACCTACTAATGCAAGACAGAGTGCAGTTAACCTTACTTATTACCTTGTCACATTGGCGACTCATGTTTATTTTTGCGTCAGGTATGACTGCGAGATCCCTTTCCACTGCTGTGGTACTCAGAACGGTACTTCCCAGTCTATAGGTGTACTGGAGATTATTTCCCCCAGGCGCAGCATTTTGCACTTATCTTTGTTAAATTGCACCCTATTTTGATCCGCCTGTTTCCCCAGTCTGTCCAAATCCGCCTGGATTTACTCCCTACCCTCTAGTGTGTTTACTGTAACCCATGTGGACACTGTTGTCCACGTCTCTCCAGGTAGAAACCGGCCCATCCACCACCATTGTCTGTGTGCATCCCCTAAACCAGTTTTCCACCCACCTGACTTTGAGAAAATCCACGTCACAGCTACTTAGTTTATTTGTAAGAACTGGGTGTGACACTGTGTCAAAAGCCTTTTTAAAATCCAAGTAAATAACATCTACCTCGACTCCTGCATCTAAGCACTTAGTGACCTGGTCATAAAAAGACACCAGGTTAGTCAGGCAGGATCTGCCTGCTGTAAACCCATGCTGGTTGCCCCTTAGCATTGTGTTACCTGCTGGCAAATGTGATCCTTTATGATTTTTTCTAAGGTCTTGCCAAGGATAGAGGTGAGGTTAGCTGGCCTATAATTACCCAGGTCCTCCTTCCTTCCCTTCTTGAAAATAGGGACCGCATTGGCCCTTTTCCAGTATTCTGGGACCTGTCCTGAGTGCCACGAGCGCTCAAAGTTGCGCCAGTGGTTTCACTATGACGCCGGCCAATTCCTTTAGTACCCTTGGGTGAAGATTGTCGGGGCCTGCCGACTTAAATACGTCCAACCCCTCCAAGTGCATCTTCACCAGGTCAGCGCTAACCATTGGTAGATTGGTATCTCTCTCAAGCCAGACCAAAGGCTCACTGGGAGGTGTGTTTGTATCTGTGACCAGGAACACAGATGCAAAGAAATCTTTTAAGAGCTCAGCTTTGTCCATCCTATCTGTTACCAGTTGCCCTAGTACATCCTGTAGCAGCCCTGTGTTACCCTGCGCCTTTTGTCAGTGTTCAACCTTTTTTTTCGTCTCTAATAATTCACCCCCTCTTTTTCCCTTGAACTCTGCATAACACAAATCTCACTGTCTTCTACTCATTTCATAGTTTTCATAGACATTGGGGCTGGAAGGGACCTCAGAAGATCATCGAGTCCAGCCCCCTGCCCAAAGGGCAGGAAGTCAGCTGGGGTCATAGGATCCCAGCAAGATAAGCATCCAATTTGCTCTTGAAAGTGTTCAATGTAGATGCTTGAACCACCTCCAGTGGCAGGCTGTTCCAGACCTTGGGGGCTCAGACAGTAAAGAAATTCTTCCTTATGTCCAGCCTGAAATGGTCTTGTAGTAATCTATGACCATTTGACCTTGTCATTCCTTGGGGTGCTCTGGTGAACAAAC